AGTACTCACCATAGCCAAAAGGAGGAAACAACCTCAAATTTTTTCAGTAGAAAACTTTGAAACTCGTTCTATAAGAGGCCAGCATTACCTTGATCTCAAAACCAGACAAAGACCTCACCAAAAAGAATTACAGACCAAAATCCCTGATGAACGTGGATGCCAAAATTCTCACCCAGATACTAGCCAGTATGATCCAACAGTACATTAAAAGGATTATTTACCACGACCAAGTGGGATTTATTCCTGGGCTGCAAGGGTGGTTCAACATTCACAAATCAATCAACATGATACATCACATTAGTAAAAGAAAGGACAAGAACTTTATCCTCTCAATTGATGCAGAAAAAGCATTTGACAAAATACAGCATCCTTCTTTGATTAAAACTCTCCACAGTGTAGGGATAGAGGGAACATACTTCAATATCATAAAAGCCATCTACAAAAAGCCCACAGTGAATATCATTCTTAATGGGAAAAAACTGAGAGCTTTTCCCTTAAGGTCAGGAACATGACAGGGATGCCTACCCTCACCACTGTTGTTCAACATAGTACTGGAAATCCTAGCCTCAGCAATCAGACAACAAAAAGAAATAAAAGGCATTCAAATTGGCAAAGAAGTCAAACTCTCACTCTTTGCAGATGACATGATACTTTATGTGGAAAACCCAAGACTCTACCCCAAAATTTCCAGGACTCATATAAGAATTAAGTAACATGGCAGGATATAAAATCAATGTGCAGAAATCAGTTGCATATCTCCACAGTAACAATGAGACAGAAGAAAGAGAAATTAAGGAATCGATCCCATTTACAATTGCACTGAAAACCATAAGACACCTAGGAATAAACCTAACTAAAGAGATAAAGGATCTGTACTCTAAAACCTACAGAACACTTATGAAAGAAATTGAGGAAGATACAAAGAAGTGGAAAAACATCCCATGCTCATGGATTGGAAGAATAAATATTGTTAAAATGTCTATTCTACCCAGCGCAATCTACACATTCAGTGCAATCCCTATCAAAATACCATCAACATTTTTCACAGAGCTGGAACAAATAATCCTAAAATTTGTATGGAACCAGAAAAGACCCCGAATAGCCAGAGGAATGTTGAAAAAGAAAACCAAAGCTGGAGGCATCACAATGCCTGACTTCAAGCTATATTTCAAAGCTATCATCATCAAGATAGTATGGTACTGCACAAAAACAAACACATAGATCAATGGAATAGAATAAAGAACCCAGAAATGGATGGACCCTCAACTCTATGCTCAACTAATCTTTGGCAAAGTAGGAAAGAATGTCCAATGGAAAAAGGACAGTCTCTTCAATAAATGGTGCTGGGAAAATTGGACAGCCACATGTCCAAGAATGAACAATGTAGAAGAATGAAACTGGACCATTATCTTACACCATACACAAAGATAAACTCAAAATGGTTGAAAGACCTAAATGCGAGACAGAAGTCCATCAAAATCCTAGAGGAGAACACAAGCAGCAACCTCTTTGACCTTGGCTGCAGCAACTTCTTGATAGATATGTCTCCAAAGGCAAGGAAAACAAAAGCAAAAATGAACTATTAGGACTTCATCAAGATCAAAAGCTTCTGAACAGCAAAGGAAACAGTCAACAAAACTAAAAGGCAACCTATGGAATGGGAGAAGAGAATTGCAAATGACATCAGATAAAGGGCTAATATTCAAGATCTGTAAAAAACTTATCAAACTCAACACCCAAAAACCAAATAATCCAGTCAAGAAATGGGCAGAACATAAGAACAGACAGTTCTCCAAAGAAAACATACAAATGGCCAACAGACACATGAAAAAATGCTCCACATCCCTTGGCATCAGGGAAATACAAATCAAAACCACAATGAGATACCACCTCACACCAGTCAGAATGGCTAAAATTAACAAGACAGGAAACAACAAATGTTATTGAGGATGTGGAGAAAGGGGAACCCTCTTACCCTGTTGGTGGGAATGCAAGCTGGTACAGCCACTCTGGAAAACAGTATGAGGTTCCTGAAGAAGTTAAAAATAGAGCTACCCTATGATGGAGCAATTACACTACTAGGTATTTACCCCAAAGATACAAATTTATTGATCCGAAGGGACACCTCCACCCCAATGTTCGTAGCAGCAATGTCCATAATAGCCAAACTGTGGAAAGAGCCATCTCGAGATATCCATGGACAGATGAATGGATAAAGATGATATTGTGTGTGTACACACACACACACACACACACACACACACAAGAGAATATTACTCAGCCATCAGAAAGGATGAATACCTACCATTTACATCAACATGGATGGAACTGGAAAGACAATTATCATGTGGTTTCACTCATATGTCTAATATAAGAAACAGTGCAGAGGATCATAGGGGAAGGGAGGGAAAACTGGGAAGTCTCAGAGAGGGAGAAAAAACATGAGAAATTTTTAACTATAGGAAACAAACTGAGGATTGCTGGAGGGGAGGTGGGTGGGGGGATGGGATAATTGGGTGATGGGCATTTAAGGAGGGCACTTGATGTGATGAGCACAGGGTGTTACATGCAACTGATGAACTGTTGAACACTACATCTGAAACTGATGATGTACTTTACTATATGTTGGCTTATTGAATTTAAAATTTTTTTTCAGTAGACTAATGTATAAATAAAGGTTGGTATAGCTATACAATGGAATATTATTCAACCATGAAAAGTAATAAAATTTTGATGCATGCTGCAACATGGATAAACTTCTAAAGCACCATGCTAAGTTAAAAGAAGCCAGACATAAAAAAGTTACCTTTTGTATGATTCCATTTATATGAAATATCCATAACAGGTAAATCATAGAGATGGGAAGCACATCGGTTCTTGGCAGGGGCTGGTAGAGAGAACAGGGAGAGATTCCTTAATAAATAAGAAGCTTGCTTCGGTAGCACATATACTAAAACTGGAACGATACAGAGAAGATTAGCATGGTCACTGTGCAAAAATGACACACAAATTCATGAAGCGTTCCATATTTTAAACAAAATAAGGGGCAGTTCTTCTAAGGTGATAAACATGTTTTGGCACTAGATGGGGATGATATTCACAACATTGAGTGTAGTAAATGCCATTTAAGCTTACACTTCCAAATGGTTAATTTTATGTTATGGGACTTTTGCCTCAATTAAAAAAAATAAGAATTGGGTGCTTGGGTTGTTCAGTCGGTTAAGTGTCTGCCTTCAGCTCAGGTCATGATCCCAGGATGCTGGGATCAAGTCCCATGTCGGGCTCCCTGCTCAGCAGGGAGTCCTTCTCCCTCTCCCTCTGCCCCTTCCCCGTTCCTGCTCCTTCTCACTCTCAAATAAAAAAAAAAGAAAAAAGAAAACAATTTTGCTGGTCTAAAAATTAAATTTTGAAAAAAATACACAAAAATAGATTCAATTATGTACAACAATTTAGTGTATCACAAACCAGTAGAGAGAGCATTATTTGCTGGGACAATTATTTTTCTATTTTTATTTCAATTATTTTCTTTATTAGTTTCAGAAGTAGAATTAAGTGATTGGTCAGTTGCATATTACACCCAGGGCATGTTACATGAAATGCCCTCCTTAATGCCCACCACCCAATTATCCCTCCCCCGCCAGACTCTCCCTCCAGCAACACCCATGTTTTTATTATTTATTTATTTACTTATTTATTTTTTGTGGTATGAATGTTTTTTTATTTTTAATTAATTTTTTTGAGTATAGTTGACATATAATGTTACATTAGTTTCAAGTGTGCAACATATTTAACATTTTTTTATTTTCAAACAATCAAGAAAAAATAGATTATTTAACAAAAATATTTAAAAATGAAATTAAAACTAAAGGAGAAAATATGATGAATATTTCCCTGACCTCATAATAAACAGGCTTTCCTAAATAAATTGTGGAACAACAATGAGACAAATAGTGTGCAGCCATCAGAAATAGTAAACTGTAGTCAAATATACAGGAAACAATGTCATGTAACTAAGGCAGCATGCAATATTTTATGACTCTAATTTTATAAAAATTGAAATGTCATTAGAGTGTTATATTCTGTTATATTTAAAAAGAATGAATTAGTATAGATTATTGTATATTATGAGTTTTGGTATGTACAAACTTCCTTTAATTTGTAATACTTCTTTAATAGAAAAAATAATAATTTAATAAAAATAGCACTCCCTGCTTTGTTGTTGATACTGTTTTTCTTATAACTTTTATCAGAAGAAAAATACTTCTTTTTAAATACGATGAAAACTTTACCTAGAAAAACTATTTTTAAAAAAATTTTTAAAGATATTTATTATTTATTTGAGAAAGAGAGAACATGCACAAGTGCATGAGGGATGGGGTGGTGGGGGGAAGAGCAGAGGGAGAGGGAGAAGCAGACTCCCCACTAAGTGAGCCTGACACAGGGCTGGATCCCAGGACCCTGAGATCAAGACCTGGGCCCAAGGCAGATGCTTAACCCAGGCGCCCCTAGAAAAATTCTTTAGAAAAGAAATAACATTTTAATTTGGACATTTTGCTAAAATCTATTAATTTCAAATCTGAAAGAGCATTTTTGGTCCTTGTATTTTATATGGTACCCTGGAAACTGCTAAACTGAAGTTATAGAAATAGCTCTCAAATTATTCTCAATAAACCCCCTTTTTCTGATAGCAACTCTAAGGAACACCAATTCATTTTCTTAAAAAAAAAAACACACAAAACTTCTTTAATATCCCCTCAAATATTTTTAGGTCATTTGTAACAGATTTTAAATTTCTATTAATTTACCGTGAAATATAAAGCCCATTACGTATTAGAATTTTGCTATATTACTCTCTTAGATAGTAACATTAGCATGTATAGTAAGTTTCACCACAAACATTTAAAATTTAATGTGAGAATCACCTAAAATTTGTTTTACTACCTTTAAACTTTAAGTAAAGCTGTTCTTTATTAATTGATTGCCTCTTTCACTTTATATAGGAGAACTTCATCCACACAAGACCAGAAGGGAGATTGGAGTATTGCTACACCAGTGAAAGAGGTTAAACCAGAAGAGAGAGGTAAAGTTGTACCTCATACTTAAATCAGTGAAATTATATTTAAAAGCTCATTGACTTTTCATTTAACATATTTTTAATTTTTACTATAATTATTTTTAAGAGTTTTATAATTCTTCTGAGTGTCTAATGGAGGAAAGAGCCTTCTGTATCATTTGATTAAGCAACAAAATTCAACAAATATTTATTATATGATATACTGTTCTAGGTCCTGAGTGTATAATGATCCCTCTCTATATCCCAAGAAGCTAACTGTCATTCAGTGCTGTCCAGTAGTTTCTGGGATAATAAAAGTGTTCTCTATTTCCACCGTCCAGTAGAGTAGCTACTAGCCATATATAGTAGCTGCTTGAAATGTAGCTAGGAAGACTGAGAATTTAATTTTTCAGTTTAATTTTAACATGTTAAATGTAAATGGTCACATGTGATTCATGGTTACCACACTGGACATGGAAACTCTGCTATATTTATATCTTATATATAATATATATGTATAAATTAAGATTAATATCTTGTCACAATTTATAAAATATATAGTAATTTACATATTGGAATAAAATTTGTGTTAAAATTACTTCAACATATTTGAATGTATTCTTAATATTATATTAAACACTTCTTCCTTCCCTCACCACAAAAATTTGTTAAACACCTTCCTTTCATGAGAGAGAACTAAGAATTCAGGACTTTGTAAAAGTACTAATATTTTGTTTTCAAAGCTGTCTCTTATAATGAGGCTCTGTTTTTAGTTTCCTTTTCACTATATCTACACTGAAGAAAAAAATCTCATTTGTTATTTCTTAATTTTTCACATGACAAATGCTAGGAGAAGATTAATATGTCAGTGGGCATAGTAACAGTTAAATTAATTGCAGTTATGTTTATTGTAAACTCATACATTTGATCCCAAAGTATAAGACAGTATCAGGTTGAGGGAGATTTATTGTAATTAAGTGTTTGTGCTAAAAAAAATTGCAGGTGGTTACTTACCTACTCGGTATGAAACAGTAGAATTGAGATGGTATTCTAGAAAAAAATTGAGAGATTAAATACAATGAATTGGAGACATTTCAAGTTATAAACACAACATTTATTTTAGAATGCTATCATAGAAACAGTACAAAAGATATCTTGGGTTTTTTTTTAAAGATTTTATTTATTTATTTATTTGAGAGAGAGAGAGAGAGCATGGGGGGGGGAAGGTCAGAGGGAGAAGCAGACTCCCCGCTGAGCAAGGAGCCCGATGCGGGACTCGATCCCGGGACTCCAGGATCATGACCTGAGCCGAAGGCAGTCGCTTAACCAACATGATAGACATCTTTGGTAAAACATATTTATATTGCATCAGAAGTGATGTAAGTGGCATTAATTTAATTATACTTTTCAGACTGAGATATTTTTATAGAAACTGAATAGATCATAAGTTGGCTAGAGAACACAGTGTTCACTGTATATGTTGTCATGAAAAAAACCAGACAGTTAAGGATATAAATTGTTGAGGATGTGGTAGAATATGAAAAAAGAAGACAGTAGACCAAATAAATATAGACCAAATAAAGGGCCAGTACATAAAAGATAGTTTTTATGCATTACAATAGAGAAACCTGTTTCTCAAGAATTCTTTTCAGGCAGCATGCTGAATTTCTTTGATAGGCTTACTAGGTTGGAAGTAGAAACTGTATGACTACTGAGATTGTACTTATAACCAATATGTAATATTATCTTCTAGCAGAAAATTATTGCTTTATTGTCCAAATCAAAACAAAACAAAACAGAGGTCTATTAAGTTGCCTTTTTTTTGAACCAGTTTTACTGTTTTTCCTCTAGCCTCAGCTCTTTGAAGCCTTGCCTTTCTTGACACTTTGTGTTCGTTTATGTCTTCTTGTCATGTCACATTTTGGCAAAAGTCACTGTTTACAAGTATAAATCTCACCAGAGTGGAACCCATATCCATCTTCCTTACTGATCTATCTCTGGGGAGAGAGTGTATTGCCCAGAACATAACAGGCTCTGCATGTTTCTAGTATAAATAGATGAATTGAATACCCATGTTAATCATTTTGTTAACATTAAACCATATCTTTTCAGAGCTGTGAAGCAGGAATCACAAGTATCTCTCATTACAGGAGTTAATTTGTGTTATAACTAAATAAATGGAATTTGGAGACAATGAATTCCTGGCGGTGCTAACTAGGGATGTTATTTTCTGATAAGGAAGACAAAGTATCTTGTTTCTAGGAACCATCTGAGGATTTTCAGTATTTATCTGATGTAATCATTATGATTCTCTTTTGTCATAGAATGAGAGGAAACACAAGCATAATTTAAAAATAAAGCTCTATAATATAGCTTATGAAGAAAACATTTTTTAGATAAAATATGCATGAATATATTGCTTGAGATTTCTCTATTTTAATTATTTTATAAAATGTTCACTTAAAAATCTGTCTTCAAAGGTTATAATTAATGTTATGATTGTATTATAATAAAACTGTCCTTAAAAGGCTAATGGATTTTTCTAAAATTCTCTCATTAAACATAGAAATATTAAAAAGAATAATGATACAACTAGTACCTGTGTTCCCACCACCTCCTTTATAGGCTGATTTATTAACAAATGTGAATACATATTTCTGTTTTAAGATGAAAAGTGTCCAGAATTAAAGCAGGAAATGGGAACATTGCTATCAGAGGCCATTCATCTCATTAAAAGTCTAGAAACTGACCGTGCAGAAGCTGAAGAAGCTTTAAAACAACAAAAATCAAGAAAGAAGAAGATTCACATGAAAATTGATTCTTGGTCAGTCTGGAGACTTCAAGAAATCCCATTAGCTGTGCAGAAAGGTAATAATAAGAATTTTTTCATATTGCCATTTACTTTATTCAAGAGGCATAAATAATCAATTGAAGCTCTGAAAAAGAGTCAACTCTGACCATATTGTTTTGCATCCAAACCAGTGCACTTTTTGATAGATGCTATTAATGATAATGCTGATATCATTTATATAGCTGGGACTGCCCTGAGCAAACCTGGACCTTCTGTAGTTTGGTGTTTGTTGGTAATTCCATAGTATTTATGGTAACATGGGACATTTAAATTTTTGGCACATATTTCCTATGATGACTACATTATTTGAGTACTTGAAATTTAGAAATTTAAGTGATTTCCAATCTTTAAATCTAGGAAAATAAGAGTTTTAAAGTGATATTTTAGCAGCATGCATCTGCTTTTGATAATTCAGTAGTAGATTTTATTGAGAACTTCTAGCAGGCAATGAAACTGGAGATGTTTCCAAGAGTCATGTAGGTAACATGTTTCAAAAGGAAATACTGTTTTTTGTTTTAGACTATAGAATAAGGGACCTATGGTAAAGTATTAAACAGTCTAAGGGCATTGGATTTTTTATTCTCCAAATACTGCCTGTTGAGCATGCGTACTACATGATTCTGCTGAGGCTGGACTTTGTTTATAAGTAAATTTTAATTCAGTTAAAAATTTTAATTCAGGATTCACATGCTTTATAAGTGGGTTATATTAGGGAGCTCATAAACCCATCGTTTAAACTAAGACACTTTTGAGAGGAAAAGAGAGGCTATTAATTATTACCCCGAGACATTAAATTATTTGTCAAACTAAGCACTTACAAACACCTTTGTTATATGTCTTCTAAAACTATAGTTTTCAAGTAAGGTGTGCACATTTTAGGGAGTTGCAAGAAAAGATTAGAACTTTTATTTATATTTTTAAACTTTATTCTTTTTATTTTCTTTCTTGATTTGGGTTTTAGTTTTGCTTTTATTGTGCCTGACAAAATACAGCTGCCCAGTGGTTCCTCGATTATGTTATTTTAATAAAATAAATTAAATGTAGTTTCAGTGACTGTTACTCCTTTTTAAAGTAAAACTGAGCTCACGGATTGAAGTCACCATTTGTTCAGTCCCTTCTGGAGCAGAACTCAAAAAGCAGGAAATCACCCAGAGCCTAGACTGGATGAATTTAATTCAGCCTTTGTCTATGCTCTTTGTTGCCCTTTACTAAAGAGTTAATTCTAAAAATTATGCAAAAAGTGTTCTAGGGAGGCGGAGCAAGATGGCGGAGGAGTAGGAGACCTGGATTTCGTCTGGTCTCAGGAACTCAGCTGAATAGGGATCAAACCATTCTGAACACCTACGAACTCAACAGGATATCGAAGATAAGAATAGTAACAACACT